CCCAAATGGCGAATGTGGCCATAGCTGGGGTGGTAAGGGCAATAAGAGCCCTGGGCCTCAAGGTGGCGGCAGGGAAGACAGAGGCCGTATTCATCCATGACGGCTCTCTGGGACAGCCGCCGGCATCGTGGATCGTGGTGGAGGACGTCCGCGTCCAAGTGGGGGCCTAGATAAAATATCTGGGCCTCCACGTAGACGGCAGGTGGAGGTTTGAGGAGCACCTCAACCGGCTGATGCCCAGGTTGGACAAGGCAGCGAGTGCCTTGTCGCGCTTGATGCCCAACCTGGGCGGTCCGCGTGGGAAAGTTAGGAGGCTGTACGCCAATGTTATCAACTCGATAGCACTGTACGGGGCCCCAATATGGTCGGCCGCTCTGACGGGGAATAGGAGGGCCATAGCGGCGCTGAATAAAACTCAGCGCCGCATGGCGATCAGGGCGGTCAGGGGCTACAGGACCATTTCCCACGCGGCAGCCACGTTGATGGCCGGGATGCCCCCAATAGAAATGAACGCCCGTGCACACGCTCAAGTGTACGAGCAAGAGGCGGAGCGAAGGGCGAGGGGGATCCCGGTGCCGAAGAGGGGAAGGAGGCTCCTCAGCGACATCAAGAAGAGAGTGAGGGAGGAATGGAGGACGTGGCTGGCCGACCCGAATCGTGCGGGCCAGAGGACGATCCAGGCCATCCTCCCTCACTTGGATGATTGGGTAGACCAATCATGGACGCGGGCGTCATACAGGACAACGCAGGTACTCACCGGGCACGGATGCTTCGGTGAGTACCTGCAGAGGATACAGAAGGAACCCGATCCGCGGTGCCACCACTGCGATGAGGAGAGGGACACGGCGCAACACACGCTGGACAGCTGTCCAGCGTGGGACGAAGAGTGCCGTGTCCTCATAAACGAAATAGGAGGAGACCTCTCGCTGCCGGCGGTGGTAAAGGCCGTCACGGAGCGGGAAGAGGCCTGGGAGGCGTTCGCGCTCTATTGCGAGCGGGTAATGCTCCAGAAAGAGCAGGCGGAGAGGGAAAGGAGGGGAGAGGAACTCGATCCTCCGGACCCTCAGCCTGGAGGGAATGGCAGTCAGCGGGGAGGGCGACGAAGAAAAGCCCCCCGCGGGATCCCAGCGCATTTGCGTAGGTAGGTGGTAGAGGACATCCCAGAAAGGGGCAGCTGATCCCCCTCTCTGGATGTCCCCAGCGAGAAGGAGGAGGCAGTCCACGGCAGTCCGCCGTAAGGACAAGGAGCAGCATCATGGTGTTGCGTGAGAGGAAAGGGGGAGTTAAGGCGTCCAGGTCCCGCCGTAAGAATAGGCCTGGGGTATCTCCTGCCTGTCGTAAAAGGCGACTAAAAGGAGCTTTTAAACCAGGAAGTCCTACGGGACCCCTGGTGGGCGGGCGTGGGCTGGAGACCCACGACCCGCCCTCCCCCACAAGCAACTAGGGGGAGCGGCGAGGGGCCGGTGGCACCCTCGTCGCAGATGTAGGAGAAGGCCCTTGTAAGGGCCGGGCCGAAGTATAGGCCAAGGCGAGCGCGAGCTCCGCGCGGCGCGGGGCCACTCTAGACGAAATGCGAATAACGATGCCTAGGTGGCCCAGATAAGCGCAAAGAAGTCCACTCCCGGTGGTTTTAGTGCGGTAGGCGCCCTCCATTGCACGCTGGCCCCAGGTCGTCAATTGCCTGGGGTACAGGGAGGGCGAGTCCCACACACCCCCCGTCTCCGCCCCAGCGGAACGGGGGAACGGTCCATGAGGATTTCCACCGGGTCAAAAAAAAAGTGTGTATTATGCTGATAATTCTTTTATTTTGTATGTATATGTATATATATAATTACCTTGTACTATATTGAGATTGTTCGCCATTAATGCTGATTGGATGTCATGGGTTTGCAACTTTCCACGTGAAGCGAGATCCACTCCACACCTCTGACATAGGGTGGGTAGGGTTATTCTTAACGAAGTGGAGCCCCCCGAAGGGGGGGGCGGAACACACTGTCTTCACGCATACATTTTTCTATCTACATTTGGTGGAGGGGAGTGACTTATAAGTGGGTAGAAAAATGTATGCGTGAAGACAGTATGTTCCGCCCCCCCTTCGGGGGGGGGTCCACTTCGTTAAAAATAACCCTACCCACCTTATGTCAGAGGTGTGGAGTGGATCTCGCTTCACGTGGAAAG